ATATGATAGCCGTACTTGTCCGAAGAGATTGTTTTCGTATGTTATACGGCGAATGAAACGCAGTGACGGTATTCCCACGTTACTGTTACACGAAAATTCAGAATTACCAGCTGAATCAGATCGAGCGAAAGCTGAGACTTTTTCGAACTATATTAGCGAAGTCTTCTCTACGTTTATTGTAACAAATACTTGTTCCACTCACACCGAGATACCAACCATTGAATCTGTACAGGTGACTGAGGAAACTGTCCTTCCATTGATAACTAACCTCAAACCTGGTAAGATACCGGGCCCTGACGGGCTACATCCATGGTTGCTGTCATTTCTTGCGGACATTATTTCAAAACCGCTCGCGACGCTCTTCAACATGTCCCTTTCACTCGCTCAACTCCCTAGAGATTGGAAGGATGCTATAGTCAGTCCTATATTTAAGGACATTCAGAGACAGAGACCGGCTTGTCAGCCTAACCAGCACAGTCGTTAAGTTACTTGAAAAGATAACTCGAGTAAGGTTGCTAAGCCACATAGATTTACACAATCTGTTAGCTCCTGGGCAACACGGATTTCGTAACAAGAGTTCATGCTTGACTAACTTGCTTATCGCGAGGGAGGATCGGAGAGCAGCCCTAGATAACGGTCTGTCTGTCGATGTGATATTCATAGATTTTAGCAAAGCATTCGACAAGGTTTCACACGTAGGTCTTATGCAGAAGCTCACGAGCTTCGGAATAATAGATACTGAACATGAGTGGATAGGAAATTTCTTATGTGACCGCAGACAGAGAGTGAGGGTCAGTGGAACGCTATCCGATTGGAAGCCCGTCAAAAGTGGTGTGCCCCAAGGCACCATCTTAGGCCCTCTGATCTTCCTTCTCTACGCTAATGAGTTGCCGCTGTTGCTTAGATCGCGACATCATTACTTGCGGATGGCGTAAAAATCTGCAGAACAATAAAAAGTGCGACTGATCATCTGGATCTTCAAGCTGACTTAGACGATTTAGTTAGATGGGCTCGAGATTGGGGCTTAGAAATCAATGCTAGGAAGAGTGTGGTAATGCACATCGGGCACGGTAATAGTTACTTACTTACTTACTTACGCCTGTTACTCCCAAAGGAGCATAGGCCGCTGACCAGCATTCTCCAACCCACTCTGTCCTGGGCCTTCTTTTCTAGTTCCATCCAATTCTTGTTCATTTTTCTCATGTCTATCTCCATTTCTCGGCGTAATGTGTTCTTTGGTCTTCCTCTTTTCCTTTGACCTTCAGGATTCCATGTGAGGGCTTGTCTTGTGACGCAGTTGGGTGCTTTCCTCAATGTGTGTCCTATCCACTTCCAGCGCTTCTTTCTGATTTCTTCCTCCACTGGGATCTGGTTTGTTCTCTCCCACAGTACGTTGTTGCTAATAGTGTCCGGCCAATGGATCTGAAGTATTTTGCGTAGACAATTGTTGATAAACACCTGTATTTTCTGGATGATGGCTTTTGTAGTTCTCCAGGTTTCTGCCCCATACAGTAGAACTGTCTTGACATTTGTATTGAAAATCCTGACCTTGGTGTTGGTTGACAGTTGCTTTGAGTTCCAGATGTTCCTCAGTTGTAAATATGCTGCTCTTGCTTTGCAGATCCGCGCCTTCACACCTGCATCAGATCCACCCTGTTCATCAATGATGCTGCCCAAATACGTAAAGGTTTTTACATCTTCCAAATCTTCTCCGTCAATTGTGATTGGATTGGTGGATTCTGTGTTGTATAGGAGAATCCTGCTTTTCCCTCTGTGTATATTGAGACCGATTGCTGCTGAGGCTGCTGCCACACTGTTCGTCTTCTCCTGCATCTGTTGTTGCGTTTGGGATAGAAGGGCCAGATCGTCTGCGAAGTCTAGATCATCCAACTGCATCTTAGATGTCCATTGTATCCCGCGCTTTCCTTCAGACGTTGACGTCTTCATGATCCAGTCGATCACCAGGAGAAAGAGAAAGGGTGAGAGTAAGCAACCTTGCCTAACACCGGTCTTCACTTTGAACGACTTTGTCAACTGTCCTCCATGCACGATTTTGCAGTGTAATCCATCATATGAGTTCTGTATGATATTGACTATCTTCTGAGGCACGCCGTAGTGTCGAAGAAGTTTCCATAGTGTTGTTCTGTCCACGCTATCAAATGCCTTTTCGTAGTCAATGAAGTTGATGTAGAGTGATGAATTCCATTCAATTGATTGTTCCACAATGATCCGTAGAGTTGCGATTTGGTCTGTACACGATCTATCCTTACGGAATCCTGCCTGTTGGTCACGAAGTTGGGCGTCTACGCAGTCCTTCATCCTGTTTAACAATACTCTGTTGAAGACTTTGCCCGGTATTGAGAGAAGAGTGATGCCCCTGTAGTTATCACACTTGCTGAGATCGCCTTTCTTCGGTATTTTGATCAGTAGTCCTTCTTTCCAGTCTGTTGGTACTTGTTCCCCATCCCAAATCTTATTGAAGAGAATGTGGAGTATCCGTGCAGTTGCCGCTACGTCTGCTTTTAGTGCCTCCGCTGGGATGTTGTCCGGTCCTGCTGCTTTGCCACTCTTGATTTGTCTGATGGCCATGCTGATTTCTTCAATTGTTGGTGGGCCAACATTGATTGGGAGGTCCGTGGGTGCTGCTTCGATGTTAGGTGGGTTCAGTGGAGCTGGTCGATTCAAGAGTTCTTTGAAGTGTTCTACCCACCTGTTTTGTTGCTCTTTAATGTTGGTGATTACCTCGCCTTCCTTGCTTTTCACGGGTCTTTCTGGTTTGCGGCGATTTCCAGAGAGTTTCTTTGTCGTGTCATACAGTTCTCTCATGTTTCCTTCTCTTGCAGCCTTTTCCGCCGTCGTTGCTAAATCTTCCACATATTTACGTTTGTCGGTTCTGATGCTCCTCTTCACTTGTTTGTTTATTTCCGTGTATTCAGCTTGTGCCTTGGCTTTTTCTGCTCTTGTTCGACTGGTATTGATTGCTGCCTTCTTGTTCCTTCTTTCTTGAATCTTATCCAGTGTACCAACAGTGATCCATTCCTTGTGGTGGTGCTTCTTGTGACCCAGGACCTCATGACATGTTGAAGTGATTGCCTCTTTGATCCCCTTCCAGTTGCTCTCCACAGTAGTTCCTTTTCCATTGAGTAGATCATGAAAGGCCTGGAACTTGTTGCTGAGGACTATCTTGAATTCGTTGAGTTTATTAGTATCCTGGAGAAAGGCCGTATTGAACTTTTGTGATACTGTCTGCCCCGTTGTCCAGTGCTTCTTGAGTTTCAATTTCATCTTGGCGACCAGTAAGTGATGATCTGATGCTATATCAGCTCCTCTCTTGGTTCTCACGTCCTCTATAGTCCTCCTGAACGTTTTGTTGATGCAAATATGGTCGATTTGGTTTTGTGTAGAGTGATCCGGTGAAGTCCATGTGGTTTTGTGTATGCGTTTATGTGGGAATATGGTGCCGCCTATGACCAGCTTATTGAAGGCACATAGATTTGCAAATCTCTCACCATTTTCGTTTCGTTCTCCCAGTCCGTGTCGTCCCATGATGTCTTCATATCCAGTGTTGTCCGTTCCAACCTTGGCGTTGAAATCTCCCATCAGAATGGTCAGGTCCTTTGTTGGGCACTTCTCGACTATTGACTGCAGCCTATTGTAGAATTGATCTTTCGCGTCTTCATTGTAGTCGTTGGTAGGTGCATAGCATTGGATGATGTTCATTGAAATGCCCTCTTTCTTTGTTTTAAACGAGGCTTTGATGATCCTTGGTCCATGAGATTCCCATCCTATAAGTGCATTTTGTGCTTGTTTGGACAGCATCAATGCAACTCCTTGTGTATGTGGTGCATTTTCTTCTTCATGGCCGGAGTATAACAGGAGCTCTCCTGTAGTTAGTCGTTGTTGTCCAACTCGTGTCCAATGTGTTTCACTGATCCCAAGTACCTCTAGGTTGTATCTTCTCATTTCTGCAGCAATTTGAAAGGCTCTCCCAGTGTCCCACATTGTACGAACATTCCATGTACCTAAATAAATGGTTGCTCTGGTTGTCAGAAGGGGCATCGGCCTCATAACTTCCGAAGGGATTCGGCTTTCATCATGAGGCGTCATAATTCTTCTAAATGAAGATCTTCTGACTCCCAGGGCAGAGTTTAAAAGGTTTGAATAATTTTTACTGGTTAGCGTTTTTTTAGCGAGTTAGTTTTCTACGGGATGGGGACGCTAACCCCATGCCCAACCCTCCTCCTTTATCCGGGCTTGGGACCGGCAGTAGCCCCCGGAGGGACTCCAGGCGGAGTTACGGTAATAGTTACCGATACACTATTGAGGGTAAAGCTCTTCCATGCGTTCAAGAAAATAAAGACTTAGGAGTAGTATTAAGTAATGATTTAAAAACAACTACGCATTGCAAAGCAGCCGCTGTTAAAGGTTTTCGTGCGTTATGGTCACTTCGCCGAGCGTTCAAATCTTTTGACGAGGAAACGTTTCGAATTTTATATCCCACCTATGTAAGACCACACTTAGAGTACTGTATCCAAACAGCTAGCCCGTGTCTGGTAAAGGATACTAACACCCTTGAGCGTGTCCAGCGTTTGGGAACGAAATTAGTGAAGGGTCTTTCTAGACTCCCTTACGATAAGCGTTTAAAACGCCCAAATCTTTTCCCCTTGTCGTATCGTAGGACACGAGGTGACCTTATACTGGCATTTCGTATCTTTAATTATGATTTGGGTGTTAATATGTCTTATCTTCTTGCTCCCTCCAACACTAATAATCCCCGAGGTCATAGCAAGAAGGTTCATAAACCACGATCTAATAAACTTAAAGTGAGCTCCCGTTTTTCTCATCGAGTAGTCAATCATTGAAACGCCTTACCCGAATAAGTGGTATCAGCCCCATCAGTGAACACTTTCAAGGAGAAGCTGGACCTTCACTGGAAAGCAATGTGTCAGGATTAATACAGGTTCACCAATCTACTATCCATATTACTGAAGACTGAAATCACAGCGCGTCAATTGGTTGGTGCGTTATGATGTTGATAAGTGGCTGTTAAGTATGGTGAATAACAGACTTATTCATAATTAACTCTGAGAATGTTTAACTTTTAGGTACAGGAGCAGTTTTTTAATCATGCATTTACGTGTTGCGTCATAATCACATTGGAGGAGTGATCACAGCAATTGTGTACGCATTCTCGATAGTATCGAGAAAATGGCTCAAAATCGTTTGCAATGGCGCAGGTGCATACATTCTTTGTGTTCTCCAAAATTCTAATCTACTGATTCCTCCTTGTCTCTTTTTCTCTTCCCAAATTCATTTCACTGGATCATACTCTTTAAATAACATCTTCAAAACTTAATCTTCCCGATCACTGCTTATACTCTTACCCTTACCTCTACCACTACGGGATTTGAATTGACAACTGCATCTCGGTGCTAATGTGGTGTGACAACTAGACTGTTGTACGTACGTTTATCGTAAGGGAGTCTAGAAAGACCCTTCACTAATTTCGTTCCCAAACGCTGGACACGCTCAAGGGTGTTAGTATCCTTTACCAGACACGGGCTAGCTGCTTGGATACAGTACTCTAAGTGTGGTCTTACATAGGTGGGATATGTGTATTGTACCGACATCTTTAATAGACTAGTAATGCTGTCGGTAAGATACTGAATTGTTGTGAGAATCGATAGCAGAAAGCAGTAAAATTACAGTAGGGTAGTTGTTTTCTACGGTTAATCACACTTCTCATACTATATTATTCATTATGGAATAAGGTTAAATTTACACATTAAAAGTTTGAATAGAGTTGTATGTTGGGGTTGTTATTTCGTGGGATGCTTATCACGAACTATGGTGCTTTATCGTCCCTCTTTTTTCTAACCTAAAAACCTTGCCGCTAAGATTCAGGGTTTGAAGTAAAGAAATGGTAAGCCTCATAAGCACATTCAAATATGCAGAGAATAGCATCAATTACTCTGTTACTCAGGCTGCATCAGGAGCAGATATTTCTTTCCATTCATTCACGTTTGTTGCATAGTTTACATTTTCGTCAATTTCAAACATTTTGCTGGCCAAATATTGGCAATTTTTATCTGATTGGTAAAATCATACAAGTTCTTGACTTTGAGCAGTAATGTATGGGGCTCTATCGTAATTTTGGTCGTTTCAATCAACACCGTCGGTGTTGTGCTCTACTGTATGGTGTATTTTTGTGATCGTATGATTTTCTTGAGCACATGTACTCCTCATAAACTTGAGTGTCATGATGAATTGTCCCGGCACATTATCTCAAGCCAATAAAGGGAACGAGGATATCCAAAACTTTCAATAATAATGTTAAAGTTCAAAAAGCATTTATCTTTTTACGAAATAAGGAATGTGCAGACACCCGACCATTATCTCCTTTCGCTGGTTCCAACAGTCAGTTAAATGCTATAAATGGAACGTCCCTCCCACCGTATACATCAAATCAGCTGTGGCTAACATTGTATGATATGTTGTAAATTATTGTAAGTTAAATCAGTACCACATTTTCACACTTGAGGCATCTTTGGTGCAACACCTGTAACGGCATGCTTTCTCTGACTAATGGCAGAACCTCAAGTGATGTATTAGGTATCGTTCCAAATCCGTATTATCGAGACCTTTCTTTGTTGATTTTTGGGTATGTGCATATGGTTTAATAATATTCAGTCTTATTTTCTTGATAGTTGTACACATTCATGATAGATATTTACATTCTCATTACTTATGCTAGACTATTAAGAGTAAGTACGTTTGCAAAGTACTCCCTGTACATACTGCTGAATTGAACTCATTTCGATCAAGAATTTCACGTTTTCAATCCAGATAAAATCAATGTATTGAATGACAGTCTGAGATAAACTGGGAAGAATCAAAGGGGTACTTTTAAGTTCTAGTATAGTCAACTTTTAATGGTGAGTCGTTAATAAAACATTCTCCACAACCATTTGAAAATAAATAGTACTAAATTGAGGCAGTTGTCATCAGATCTTACTAGCACTTACGTGGAATTCTCGGTAGATAAAGCAACGTTAGATGATAGGCAGGTATCACTGGAAGGTAACTATCCTAAATTTAAGATAATTTGTTTCTCCATATAACGGCGCATGTCCTGTTAGCTTCAGTGGGTTACGTGAGAACAACCATTTCCATTTGATTTTTAAAGGGTTCAGTCTAATTGGTATTCTGTCTTATTGTTGCTGCTGTTACCTGTACTTTTTTGCTTTGGCCATTTCATATCTCATATATGTTTGTTGACTGGATTGTTTTGCTCTACGGTCTCGTACTCAGACTGCCTTTATCAAGACCAGAAGTCCTATTTTGAATTTTTCCTAAAAGTAAATGTTACCACGCAATGTGGTTTATTTCCAAGTGTATTGTTTTGTCCTTCATGAGCCAATACTTATCTATACAATTTAAACGTGATACAGTTAGTTTGAAAGTGGTATTTCTTACGACTATGCTGCTATTGTATGCTAGAGTCAGTTTTCGGTGTACATAATAAAGATTTGGCTGGGTAACAACTATAGTTGGCAATTTACTTCTGAGCACGCAGCGTTCCTACCAGGAGTTCTTCATCCGATTTCGAATCCGTCACACATATTTGTATAAACCACAGTATGTCGAGGTAACGGTTGATTCCTACCAGTAAACTTTGGTAGTGACAACAAAAAAACCAAATTGATTTGAAAGTTGTCTCGTATACAATACTTTGAAGAGTCCTGATATGAGCATTCATTTCAATGCCGCGGCAGTACCAAGCGATCAGTCAGCCAGCGATAAACCAACGGAAAGCCAGTGAATTAAGAACTGCAGTTAGTAACTCTTACAGATCTCTTGTAAAATTGCCATCAAAAGAAGTGTACGTCTTGTCATTATCGTTACCTTGGCCTCAAACTATTATTATGATTATTTCATTTCGTATTTAAAAACGTCATACTCTCTCCTTACTTACGCCCCATATCCTCATGATTTTATCCGTAATTGTTTCTGGTGTTTAACTATTTTAACCAAGATATTTTGATCATCTTACTTCAATCCGTTGCTAAATTATTAATTTTACAATGCTTTCTATTTGGACTATCATTTATTGTTATTATTCATATTACATAATCTTCCTATGAAATCATCATGTTTATTCCTTCGTGTTTTTAGTCAATCAGAACGTTCACGTTCCATCTATTCGTACTGAAATCTGCTTTGTTGTTTCAACTTGAAATTATTCTTGCCACAACGGTCATTGATTAGGAACTATCCCTTTTTATTTAGCTTTATCAAATACTTCATTAAACTGGTTCATTTGAATTACTATAATATATACAACCTAATATTTTATACAGCTACTAAGATTTCTTCGAATAATCGTTAGTCATGAAGTTGGATAACATTCGACACACATATAGTTGGATAATATTGTCCTCATAAATAAATAGTATATTTGTAATATTAATTTTAATTTGGTTATTTATTCTCAGAAGAAGTGACTTGCATTAAGTCACGAAACGACAGAAAATCTAATTTTTCTATTCATTGGGATATTACAAATATACTATTTATTTATAACAATCTACCCAATGCTCAATGTATTCGAAATTATCAAGTCGAATCTTGGTAATGATACTTATAATATTGTTCTCAGTTGGATCATTATCTAGCTTCACTCTAATATACATGGATATTTATATGAAAATGCTAAACTAGTCAAGGTAATTCTCGGGTCAACGATCACAATGAAGTATATTGCATAACTAGGTATAATAGGTAATAAGTATAAATTGGTAGTAAGAAAACGGCTGTACCAGTAGGGATAAGAATAGTAAAAATTCTAGCCAATATTTTAAGACACATAGAACAAATTTAGATAAATAAACTAATGATCACGAAACACCACTCAGACCATGTAATGTTAGGTGTGTAAATAAAGACGTAGTGAATAATGTGAACGAAAGAGAATGAACAAATAGAGGTAATTAGCCAGTTTCCTAATAGCGTCTGCTACATGTAGGAAACGGGATCTTACCCCAATGGGGAGTGATGGTGTACTATAGATCGCACGGAGCGATTGGGTCTTTACTATCACTTGATCACTGTCAACAAGGTGTGACAAGATAAAGCTGTGGCTCTTTCCAAACCATTCTGGGTGATGTCCACATATTCGTTAGCTAAGTTGATGGGTAGTAAGCCCTATATGGACAAATCAAACTATCGACTTGTATATTTTACCTATCAAAAGTAGTTATGCAAATTATTTCATTACGATCATTGACTCAAGAATTGTCTGGGTTGGCTTAATATTTTCATATAAATACGTATATTAGAGTTAAACCCGATTATGATCTCACCGGAAACGCCATTCGTTCACATGCGTTGTTATAATTTTCACTGGAAATATCTAAGCCTACATACAGTCCTCCGAAGATTTATGTAAAAGGTATTGTATCTAGGATTGTTTAGATTGATTTATCTCTGTAGCATGTAACCTATGTAATAAAATCTAAATTCACGTACCGAAGTCACTTTAAAGCATCTGACGAATGGCTCTTAGCATCGAAGTAAGAACCGTAATATCAAGTCACGGAAAAGTATCCAACTCCAGTTGAGCTCATTGATCACTTTGCATAATAACTATTTCACTTTTTCCCGTTGCTCTGAAAACCTATATTTCTCAGTAATGTCAAAAAAATAATGAGATGAGTAATGCATGACTCCATTGATTATTTTGTATACACAAATTATTACGAATTCTTATCTATGTACGCGTATGTGTTTGTGAGTGTCTTCACATTTACCTGATGATCTATCATTCAAGCTAGATCCTGCATTTTTGGTCCAGGTTTTTTTTTCATACACATGTGTGATAATTCATATATACACTTTCGACTTTCATTTGATTCTTACAAGTACTTATTCATTTCAATATCGTTTGTTCTGTCTGGGGAACAAGCCTGTTTGAAATAAATCGTACTTAATAACACTTTGTATCGTGACTCATTTACCGTCTCACTGGAGGTAACGTAATCGCAAAGTTATTTAAGTCAATTAACAGTACTAATTTAATACAGATAAGACGGCAGTAAAAAACCATCAGCTAAAAAAACCTAAACGTACATGTACTTTAGTTACTATTTAACTAGGGGTTAGACGAAACACACAACTGTTTAATTCTATGCTTCGACTCAATTTAGTTTTATCGATGTAATAAACTACAAATTTTATTTTGAAGATAAAATATATTGACTGATTTGGAAATCACTTATTATCGAAGTGGTGAAGTTCGAACCGATATGCGCTAAACCTGAATATAATTTTACGTTAAACGGAAAAATATCTTTGTGAAGACAATCAAATATATGTGGATGTTTCTTTCGATGATGATAAATGGTTTGTAAACAAACAAGCAAATTAATTATGAATACAGTCTTCAAGGACCAGAATTCTGAGCAATTTCTGATCGCAATGAACAAATATCACTACCATCAAAAATGCGAAATAGCAGAAGCATATCGAATATATTGATCATACTATGCTTTCCATCATTAAAAGTAGAATATTAGATGCGAAATTATGGTCTCTAGTCTTTGCCTTACAAAATGTATATCACAGAGTATGGTTTTAGAATTCAAGCGCAACTAAATCCTGTGCGGAATTAAATATGAGATCTTACTGAAAATAACATGACTAGTATTTTCGAGCAACAAACTTCAATCTCATAAGACAGGTTACAGATTACCCATAAGAAAACAGGATGAAGCATTGAGGACAAAGACCTGGTCATTGTTTTGTGTTCATAATTAGGAAAATAATAACTATGTACTGTAGAGTAAACGAAACCGACGGTTGTATTTCTGACAGAACACAACAAGACAACGATTTCTAAGTAGGGTTTTTCTTATTTACACTTCGAAAATGTATAATAATAACCCAGTAAAACAACTAATGACTCCTCATTGAGATGTAAAAGAAATATATGTCAGTTTGTCTGATAGATGAAGGTAACATAGTGTAAAGAACTGTTCACTAAGAATCCACATAGAAAGGACAACGTAAATGCTACTTTTTTTGGTAATATCGAAATCCAAAGATACTACAAAGGATTGCTACTGCTACTTTTTAACAGCGGTTTGTTACACAAATGAGACTGACGACTTCAGTCATACTGCTTTGTCCCATGATATTCTGTGACTAGTTTACTTTCTTCACATTAATAATCTGCAAGGAGATTTAAGTTTATGGGACGAATACCGTACTGCCTAAACAAATGTACTAGACGGATATCCAGACAATTGTTTCCTTCACTTCATAATATTGATTTAAAGCCCTCCAAGAACAATTGACGAAGTGCTTTGAACACTTCGTTGTTTTTATCAATTGAATTTAAAGTGAGTGTAGTTTAGTGCCGAACTCTCAGTTACGCCATCAAAGGATAACTCAAGATATATAATAATGAACGTATAAACAAGTGTTAACTCTTTGTGCATAGATATATAAGAATTCCATTTTAGTGTTTCTCATTAAACAAATAGAAATGTGATTCATTGCCTTCATATTAATAATAGACGTTTTCTATAAATTAGGCATTATTAACACGAAGCCAAAACTAGAAGTCCTCTAAGTTTATTTTTGTCATATTAGACATACAGATTTTTGATTTTCCTGTCATCTGCTGGACGTTGACGCGTACAGACAAATATCAAGAACTTGCAAGTTATTAAGCGAGTGACTTTGCTCTACATTGGTTGTCAGAACGAAGAAATTAATGAGACGCTGCTCGCATTTGCGATCCACATGTAATTTAGTGTGATATGGGCTAGTGTAGAGAAACGTCCATATTGTGTGGATCATGCACCAACTAGCAGCACTGACTGTATACAAAAACGTTTGGTTGCATGGTCTATGATTAAATATCAGTGGTTGTTTATCTGTTGACGATGCGCAAGCCAGATATTCAAAATGTTTGCGCAATAGGATATCTAACAAAGATATCATTCAAATATGACAGGAATGATGAAAAAATTTAGTAACGCATAGTTTATGCCCTAAGGTATGCTGCTATCACGCACTTCATAAGATCCATATAGATAGAGGGCCATTGAAAATAAAGTCGCACTAGAAATTTAACCATTAATGTGGATTTTCGGCATTATAGAAATCAACAATAAAGAAGAAACTGTCCTTAATAAATTTTGTCATCCAACGGTATTGATTGAACAGTGTCTAGCAATTTATTTGAGTATAGGTTGCTGTGAATGTAACTATGCTAAACTTATTGGTTTTTAGGAGTTCTGAATCATTAAAAACATGAAAGTTTTTAAGAAGACGGGATGATTCACGAGAAACTAGTATACAAACGATTAATCTGTTGTAAATTTTGCACTTCACTTATGATAAATATTATAGTTCTCATTAAAAACACAGCGCAATAATAATAATTATCATTTCAATTTAAGCCCTATACGATACTGCCATATATAAAAATGACATTAAGATATATAAATAATGGGAGGTTGAGTACGTCCACTCTCTATTTTACTATTTCTTTCTAAGTGAAAAATATATCGAGCAACATTTCTCATATATAAGAGTATAGGACTAATTCTACGCTAACATTCAAATCGGTTCATGAAAACAAATCAGAATCGAGGTAACACAGAATACTAAGAAACATATTTGATGTCATCTGGTTAATAATAAGGTACTTTTTGATACGTTAGATTTGATTTTAGATGACTGGGATAAAATTGACGAGTATATCTTAAGCAGCAAAGCAATTCTAAGTGCAATTTACAGAATGGAACAATATGAGTAACTTAATTAAGGCAATAACACCTACAACACATGGTCAAAAATATTTAGGTCTATAACGTGTGATAAGCTACACAAATTCAGGAATCTTATCGGCTTGTGCGTACAAGTTATGAAAGGGACAGTTAGCGAGTTGATTATTCCCACAACAAACATAAGTACAGCTGAGATATTCTAAAGACTGTGTAAAACAACGCACAATTCGCCACACCCGCCAAATAAATCATGATGTCTAACTAGACTAAACAACATTTAGGGAAAAACCCTACAGGACAATAACATTATTTACTAATAGCTATGGCATGAGGAGGCTACCATACTTGATTTTTGGTTGGCATATTATTGCCTCACATTCAATTTGAAAATGTCATCATCCGAACCAGGTCGCCCACGCAATCTTTTCGATACATTGCGAACATTAGTCAAATCTGAGAAAGGTTTGTTGTTGATACTTTTACTATATAGTCGCTCATCACACATTTTTGGTTTTGTGAAGGAGCTAGCAGAGCCACCATCGCATTTCGTTTTCATTGTCTTAAGTGTACACGATATTTGATAGATTGCTGTTATGCTTATCACATTACCTAAAAGGTGGCGCACATTTTGTTTATTTTTCGCTTACGTTAGCATTAAAGCACATTTGTGGTGCACACTTCAATTATTGTGTTGTTTTAGTGTGGATACCTTGATTTCTCAGATCTGAAAATACCAACCTGATACTTTGTATCAACAAACGAGTACATGACATTATCTTCCGAAACGCTTTATCTTAACTGCTCCTGAAAAAGTTTTGCAAACTTCCATAACGCTATTCTATCTAGACATCTGTACAGCACTCTTATCGTGTAATATTTGGCACGACCTTATCACATTAATCGTTGTGTTTCTTAGTAGACTCATATCTGTTCATAAAAATTAGGGATTCTGCATTTCGAATGGGGAAAATATCGTTTCCTGATAGAATTAGGTATATCCCTACAGCCCTAGTTGCTCTTCATGTGTAAATGTGCAGATGTAGCGTAATTCTAATAAGTGATTGACATATATAGGCTTGAATACTTAGCTTCTTCCAGGTATGTTACGCACAAATGTAGAACCGCGTTTCTAACTATCGAATAAGAATACTAAACTTTCCTATGCATACAAAAATGTTGTTCCCAAAAAGAAGTGTTTAACCAATATTCTTATAATTAGCTACACTCCAAGTTTTCACTGAGGCTAGCGACAGCTTATCGACGTTCACCTATTGCCGTACAAATTGTTGAATGATTTATCATAAATATTTGGTTTGTAAAGGTTATCAGTTATGACGTGGTTCGTATGCATTCACTGCTTTGTCTCTCTCTAGATCTTCGTCCTCGGTCGCCTTCATACATACATTTTTATTGTTTTCTGGAACTGTTCCCACTGTTAGTTCTTTCTTATCATTGCTATTAAAATTATTTCGATCGATATATTATACATCTTGTTAGATTAATTTCGTTGTGCTAATATCGTTCGAAACATTGGGCTAACTCAACTTTCCTCATCTCTATGTTGATCGTATGACGGACTCTATGGTAAAGTCGACTTTTATCCTTCCTAATTCATGAGTTTTGTTTGAAGTCTGATTGGTTGTTGAAGTTCTTCAGCGTATACAATCTTACCGAAGATAAGTTTATTAATTAACTCAAACGAGCTGCAGCTTAGCTATGCTATGCAGTATAAAAACCTGAGTAGCTCACCGAACACCTGTATGTAGTATATTTTTCCCATAAAAATTTACTTGTGAACTTTTTACCTTGTATTCACTATCATATTTACTACATGTACGTGAAAATCTTTTTCCTAATTAACAATTTCAGAAAGACAGTATCCGATAAATCTATGTGATTCATGTAGATGAATTTTATAACTCTGCAGCACGAAGACTGTTGTTGTATGACTGCACGTGTGTGATATGCTGTGATATCTGCTGTCTAAGCAATCTTCATAATTATTTTGAAACTTAAAAGCATCCATCTGTTAGCTTCTGTAAAAGAATGACATACCTGATTGCATGCAACATTTCTTTTAAATGATCTTGAATCCATTAACCCCGGTTCATAACAGAATATTTAATAACATTCTATAGAGCGACATTACCACATTCAGAAACTTATTAACTATAATGATGTTGATTCTTTGAGTTAAATGGTGTATAGTCGTCACACTCCCCGATAAAATGAGACGGATGATCACCAATAACTTCGTTGCTTAATAAATTCCTACCCACTAGTAATTCTAATAAATTTACTGGGAAAATCTACTTTGGTATGGTTGTTGCCATGAAATCTGTTCAAAACAAGGTATTAACGTCTTTGAATTCATGAGGGTGATTAACGTTGGTAGTATATTTTACAAGTCTATTACCATTTCTGTACAGAAGCTAACAGATGGATGCTTTTAAGTTTCAACATAGTTGAATAGTGTTTGAAGCTAGAATAGTCAGAATGATAACAAAGCTTGCTTAGACAACAGATTTCGTAGCATATCCCAGTTGACACAGCCAATAAACATCTAGTAGTCGTATCCGACTTCTCATTTAAGATCATCTGTACCTCGAGTATTCAATCTTATCCAGACTTATTTAATTATATATCATACTGACGATAGTCCTAACTAATTAGATTTTTGGTTAATACCAGATGAAATTCCAGGTTTTTTCAATGTCTATAAATTTGATTTGATGCCCACTATTTATCCATGTATGCATAACGTCCCCACATACACAGTCAACTCGCCTAGCAATTTTTTTTTTTGAGTTAAAAATATTGTTGTTACAATCCACTGTATAGGTTTCAACACCGTTACTCAATCTTATCACAAATAAGTAGATGCCCAATATTTAGTAATAGTGCACTCATATTAACAGGGTGCGTGCAAGTGTTGAACTTTTGCCAGTTTGCTCTACCAGTGTATCAGATGAGTTGTGCGTTCGCCTATCATTGAGCTAGTATAGCTACTCAGCACTTTGCTTTGTAAAGCATCTTATTTAAACACATATAACATGTAAATGCTTAGTCTAACCATCAATAGGGGTGGTTAGGGCGTGTAGTACACATGTACAGTAATTTGACTCCGATGCACTAGAACGGGCTAGAATATAATGAAACTGAAAGATGGCATAGCATCCTTCCATAAGCACATATATTCATTCAAAATGAATCTCAATTCATTTATTTTTGACATCTATTGTTAATTTTAGTAACTTCATCCTTCTGTTAATTTCTTCACTGTGTGTTAAATTGTGAAGGTTGGAGTCTATATGTATGCCTCATAGAAGTCCGTTTGATGACCACTGTCAGTATTTGGTAGGGGGATGTCGAGTGACATGTCAAAATCAGTTGCAGGGGCGCAAATAAATCTATTTTTTAATTCCCTTTTAAATCTCTAGTTCTAGTATTTCTTCATACACTTCTCCCTATTCATTCTTTTCAAATCAAGTTCTAAATGTTCCATCATTCACGGTATCGTTGATACTACCATTATTCCTAATTCTTTGTTCATTATATTAGTCTCATCTTATGTACCGCTACGGCTACTCGGGCTAACACTAATTTGTATCAGTCTCCAAGTTAATTTCTCGAAAAGTCATAATTGCTTATTTGTTGTGTTGAATGATTTTCTTTCTCTGAGGCCCACATCCACATGGTTCACCTTAGACTTAAGTAAAAAATTTCACTACTGGGTCAGTCAGTCAGTCAGCTACAACGTAGGACCAGGCACATATGTGCATCGGTCCAGGTTGCCATACCGCATCAGCACAACAAGATGAACACCGGATTCACAGCAGTGGTTAGGTCAAAGGTGGTAATATATAAGAGAAAGATTGCCTTTAGAGATATAGTACAAGAAGAAAGAATTGGTTCGTAGAAAAAAAGATATGAAGTGATTTTAATCTCTTAGTTTAAGGGAAGACAGAGAGTGTATACATCGACGCCATTGTGAACGATTCTGAGCCATGTCAACAAGAGTCTCCAACCATTGGTTACGATAGTCACGCGGACCCCGACCAAGTAGTCTGCATCTACCAACATGGCTCAGACTAGAAGTTAGTGTCTTCAAGCACTGATGCCACGTTTTGGTTTGGCCGCCCCTAACTTTCTTTCAACCATCTCCAATACCGGATAGCATTGCACGTCGTGGTAATCGGTGTTCAGGCATACGTAACACGTGGCCCAACCATCTCAGTCGATGAAGATTCATAACCTCATCAACTGATTTACCATCATTCCCTAATACCCTGCGTCTAACCTCACTATTACTTACCCGGTGATCCCAGCAATATTTCTAAGGCATCTGTGGTCAAATACTAATAGCTTACGAGTGTCTTCTACTCTTAATGGCCATGTTTCGCTGCCGTAAAGTAAAACAGAACGGACTGCCGCGCAGTATACCCGTCCTATTATTGATAGACGGATATCTCGCCTTCGCCAAAGGTGACGCAAGTTGGCAAAAGCCAAGCGAGCTTTTCGAATCCGTGCTGAGATTTCGTCAGACACCAACCCATTAGGGCTGATCAGACTTCCAAGATAAGTGAAGTTGCCAACGCGTTCGACTACTTCATTCCCTATCCTTAGTTCAGGTGTTGACGCAGACCAGTCCTGAAGCAACAACTTGCATTTAGAGGGAGAGAAGCGCATTCCAAACATTCTGGCATTGTTGCTTAGTGCTACCAAAAGACTCTGCATTTTGTCAGCGTCTTCAACAAACAGGACTATGTCATCTGCGTATTCAAAGTCGATAAGTGGACCTCCTGGATGGGGATCAATAACCGAGAATTCAGTCGACGAGAAAGTTATTTCCATCAGTAGATCTATGATGAAGTTAAACAAAAATGGGGAAAGTGGACAGCCTTGACGGACACCACTTGAAGTTGCAAAAGTAGATGACAGTTCGCCATAAGCTCTGACTCGACTAGTAGTGTTCGAGTAAAGAGCCTTCACAAGGTTTATGTACTTCTGAGGTACGCCTTTCGATGACAGACACTGCCACAGAATCTCGCGGTCTACCGAGTCAAATGCTGCTTTTAAGTCGAGAAAGACCACCATTGTCGGACGCCGATAAGTATGCCTGTGTTCTAGAATCTGACGAATGGTGAATATGTGTTCGATGCAGCCACGACCAGGTCTGAAGCCACCTTGATTCTTTCGTGTTTGCAGTTCACGAGTCTTAGTTAGGCGTCTGATAATTATCGAAGCTAGTATTTTAGATACTATATTAGTTAAACTAATCCCTCTGTAGTTGTCACAGGATGATTTTAACCCTCTCTTATATATTGGGACGATAAGTGATTGTGACCAGTTAGATGGGATAAGGTCTAACTCCCAGATCCTAGCTAAAATATTAGTCAACCTAATCGCTAAAATTGGACCACCATCCTTAAAGACCTCTGGAGCCAGTCCATCTGGACCAGCTGCCCTTCCTCGTTTCAGATTAACTATAGCCTTTTGAACTTCAGCAAGATTTGGGGGACCTACTTCAATGTTCCATTCACACTGTCTGGGAATGGAGAGTAGTTGTAGAGTAGCTGAAGGCCAGCTGAACTGTTCTCTGAAATGTTCCGCCCATCGTTCTAAACGTCTGGACTGAGAGCAGATGAGGGTGTCGTCTTTTTCCGAAATAGTCTGACTTACACTTGATTTAATAATTCCAGTTTCTTTTATTAGTCTGTAAAGCTGTCTTGTGTTCCCTATAGTCGCCGCCTTTTCCATCTCCACTGCTCACTACTGGGAAGAATATTTGATATTAATTCGACAAAACTGTTCGGATTCCTATTGTTTCACTTCTGAATAGTTGATAGAACCGGTAAACACAAGCTTAAAAGATTTATTCTACTTATTTTTCAGGTTTGTTTTTTGTAGTCAGTTACCTGATTTAACATCACAGACTGATATCATTTGCGGTTATTCATTAAAGGACTGCGTAGTTGATTTTAAATATCAGTATGGCAGGAACGCTAAACCTCGGTTCCACAATATTTCTTTACAATTTTGATTACGTATACAATATTAAACCATTTATTGGTCTGTAGGGTTTTCATAAAATATGTATTGCTACTTATCGCTTTTAGATGATACAATTTCGCGTACACGAAATGCGTCTTATGGTAATGACAGTAATATTTCCTTATTAATCAAGCCTGAGGCTAATGATACATCGACATCTCATGTACACTTAAATGATCAAACTGTTAACACCAGCAATAAAACTGTTGGTTCTATGCTGATTCATGATGGTGATCATGCTGATAACTTGTTGAATCAGAGAACAGGTATCTGCAAAGCCACTTCATCAATCAGGAATGATATTCAGATTTCACCAAATCCTGCTCCAGGTCCTTCACAGAGTGTATGTATATCAAATGTAATTGGTGCTAGTGCTGATTTTATAAATTCTAAGTTTAAATCGCCGACCACGTCTTGCACTTCCTCAACTCAGAATAGCTGTTCTAGTGATACCTCTGTTTCACAAATGGGGGATTTCCATGCACTATCTGTTTCGTCTAGGCGTATGACCGTTATTCAAGAAACACCTCACGGTACTCATCACTATCCTTCGATTCCTCTGAGTTTATCAACTAATGGTCTTAGCGAGTCATATAACGATGATCCCGTTTTACGAGAGTATATTCATAAAAAATGTACACTACTGAGATACCCTATTCAGTTGGCCTTGGCAATGTCGAAGTTGTGTTCACCATCAAAATTATGTACAATATCTGGCAAACAAACAAATCCCCCAGAGTTTAATAAGAGTTCACCTCGTCACCTTTCCGATCACGGTTACATGGAGATTGATGCTAGCCATTTTACTCTAAATCCATCTGCAATACTTGCTAAAAATAATACTGTAATGATTAGTAATATGAACCGGCCCCGAACAAAAGCTCAATTACGTCATCTAAATGTTAACAAATCAAGTCACTCATCAGATAAGACAACACAAGATTTCGCTTCACAATCTAAAAATAAAATCACACAATCAGAGGAATGCCAAAGGCTTACACCAATTACGACTGAATCAGATGTAATTGAAATTCTTTCCGTAAGTTGATGTTTGTATTTTATCCATTAGTTTTGACATAACAGTAGACTTTTACAACATAACAAATATCAGTTATGAAATCAAAGATCGTTGAAATTCGTGCTATCATATCGCGTTTTAGTGTCCTAGAGCATCAGTTGGTTTCAAGTTATTTTCCTTTTCTAATACTATGTAGAAGCTTTTATTCTGAAACAGCATCGAATATGGGGATTAGCTACTGCCTAGCCTCAGTTAAACTATTTATGACTGATTTACAAAGACTTATTCAAAAACTGTTTCTTATTGCTCTAAACAATATTTTACATTGCCTTATGAATCATCTGCTTTTTACCCCATGCTTGATGATTTAACTAACCTAAATTTAAATCCGTATTTCACTCAGTAGATAGTATCAGATAGAAGTTTAACTGTTTCAGCGGTCCTAAGTCACGAAAAATTGTTTTGTGGATGTTATCGTTCAACTTTACAACTAATGAGATTATTCGAAATCCAGAAATACTGTACATCGTAATGTCTATCGATCAACAGGCAAATATAACAGCTGTTTTTAAAACATTTTCGATGTTGATCTATTCTAAAGCGTAAATGCACTTTTTAGAAATCCCAGTTAAGTACTGTAAATTTGTTCTCTATCAGTCTATTCTGTGCTCTTATTTCACGAACCTGTGAAATTAGGATCTCTTTCCCGAAGATCTCAATTTTATGCTGTGCCAGAGTCGAAACACCACTTATCAACTAGATCCTAATTATCACCCGTCCCTCTGATACTTTGCTGAGTTCAATTAAGGTAAATAATATTAAGTCTAATTCTAAATATGTATCACTAAGAGAAACGATGTATGCGATTTTATTAGTTTTTATACATTGTAACCACCATGTTGTATAGTTGTTAAACCTTACTGTTTATCTTGTCCTTTTTATTTTTAGGATGAAGAGGAAAAATGTGGTCCATGTAGGTAATGAATATTTATATGTATATTTTATCATTAATATGAAACCAACTATGTAAGTGGCTATAGTATAATCCATGCTTTTGGAAGATATATTGGTGCACTTGTAAATGAAAGAGTTTCGCTTATATTCCAAGGATCGCACTACTCGACTTTCACTGCAGTTCCATTCTGCAGACCCGACAATCAGTGTAGCTCCGATTTAATATTCTAAGTACCATTTTTAAATGCTAGGTTTCTGATGTAAATCTCACTCAATTTATTTCTATTAGTCTCTTGACCTCTACATGGCATAAATATGCATTATTTTAACTTTGATCACACATCAATCATCAGTACAGAGCGGAAAGACATCAAAATTTCGACGAATGAAATAAAGGTACTAACAGCAGTGGGAAACTTCAAGAAGAAAAACGGAAGACCTAAGTAAGTCTAGCGGTTAAGATTCCTGGCTCTCAGCCAGGCGGCCCGGTGTTCGACTCCCGGCGCGTCACAATTTTGCCCCCAAATGCCCTGATACGGCCTAGAGTGGGGAGAGTCATCCCTCTCTCTCGAAATTCTCTCACGTGATCACGTGCATACAACCACTACCTCGTGGCGGGAGTATTGTTTACGAAATTGAGAGGACGAAAAGAGAATGTCCAGCGTTTTAAGTGGGTCGGTGGACACGGAGGGTTCACCTAGAGGAGTTGGAAAACTTTGATTGCAAATCAGTGGTGCACATGGGCTCCAGTATCGTGAGGGAACAAATGGCGTATGAACCAACCGTTGGTCACCGGCTACCATGGGATTGCATCTCCTTATGTTGCTCTACTGCCTTGTGGATTAGACCTTTAGGTCGACGGCTCCGGGTGTGGCCACTAAGGAAACCACCTGCTTCGGTTTGGGCAAACGGGCAGTATCCAGCCCTCACACAAATCGAATGATTTGTGTGGCGAATATCTATTTGGTGCATCCTTATACCAATGTTTATGTCTTTAAATAAATAATAAGTAAATATAGCAAATAAGATGGATAAAATATTACAGTATTCAATTTTTATAGAAAGATAATAATCAGACTCATCTATACTACTATAATCGGTTTTCGGATGATAACATTTAGGGTCTTTGGCAGTTGATTACAATTATCTCATATATAGATCTTATTGTGAAATAAGCTGACGTATGTCTACAATCAACAGTAGGTAATTGTATCTTCTCAATAGTTCTCTCTGTAGTTAATATTATTTCTTGTATTTCAATATGCATAAAAATACTTTCATTATATGTGCATACGTATTTTGAAAAGTGGGATAATATTGTTAATTTATGTACGAATACTTTTATATATTTTAATAAACTATGTATTTCTCCTTATATCTGGTACTATTGTGTTTAAAAGTCAGCACGTAAATGGGTGTATGTTGTGAATGCATCTGAACGACTTGTTTTGGGGACATCTTTTTGATTAGTCAATAAATCTCTACGTGCCTCAATCTTTTGTGTTCTTGCTTGTGGCATAGAAATTACAATGGTTCTGGTTTCCGAATACGTGCAGTAGGATTGCGGATTCAGCAAAGGCGACATGGACCTAACATTTAACCTATTTAATAATACCTGATTACTTATAAATCTAGAATTTTCCAGCAGATATAAAATATAGCAAGTAAATCGACTGCAAATTCTTGTTATGAATCGTTATCAGAAAGGCAATTGATATAACGAGATCTGTATCTCGTTATTTAGTGTTCCGTAAGCAGTGACTAGTAGATGTATTCAGTGTTTCATGTATCAACTCACTTGTAAACTGTCAAAATAGATGCCACCTTTACTTCATTTATTCATTACTGCAATTTTAATTTGGTGCCTAGTCAGTGTATTCTGTGATTGGTTAGCTTGTGAAGACAGACGCAATCTGATACACTGTATAAGTGAATAAATTATGTTGTAGGAACCACTTCTGCTTACTTCATACTTTCTGTCTTAATATACTCTTGTTGTTACGTAGTTCTAGTTACTTAAATGGTCAAATGGGTATGACCGATAGCACACGACTTGGTCGAAGCCCTAGTCCTATAAAAACAAAAAAGTATTTCAATTTTGATTAATAAATCAAAAAAATCTTTGTAAAACTAGTGAAGTATGATATAATGTTGATCTCATTCATTAAGGACTACTTAATAATAAATTAAAACATCCAAAGTATCGAATACTAAAACTAAGGCACGCGAAGAAATTTGTGGATCTCAGTTAAATCCATAAAATACAAGGTAATAATATGTTTCAAAATAAATAGTGAATGTTTGTAATGTTCAAATGAATTGTAGATAAATTGGGTAGGAGTAAACGTTCAGTACCTGCTTCACTTTGGATTAATGATATAAACATACTCAATAAAGTTAGTGGTTATTGTAAGAATGTGTTCGAAATGATTACCAGCCACAAGCGTATTACACCACATGTAACATCAAACTTTTCTATTTCTCCCTAATGGCTAAAACTTGACCACCAATCTCAATGATTTCACTCTCTCTTACAGCCACACCACATTACAAAAATCCTTCTGTTCTTAAAAGTCGCCAACTTCGTCACCGATCTCATCAGTTTTCTAAGAATCTCCGGAAAACAACCAGACTGTCTACATTATACAGGTCCCAAGTTACCCCTAACTATGTAAGTGATCTGTTTCTTTGCATTTGATATATCCAACATCTTTATGTTTTATCGAAAGCTAACTATATTTCTACAAAACAATTTTATACGATAATCGAATAGAAAACATGCCTAAGTAGTTGATTTGATGTATTTTGAAATACAACTTTATGAACAAGTTTAGAACATCGTTTATAGTTATAGAACAATTGATTTACAGTTCTATTATGCAATGTCCTATCACTGGTTAAGTAAAAATGAAGTGTATACTATATATATCTATGAGGCAAATTATCACACTTCAAATTAACATCATAATAGCCTAAAATTTTTGCCAAATCAATGCACTCATACATAGTGGATAAAAGCAGAATTATTGTTACTGTGTGTTATACACGGATGAAAGGACCGTCCAGTACTTCCAGGTTTTCAGTCGTTCATGATTTCAATGAAATTCAATAATCTCCATAACCCCATACTGTAAATTTTATTATCTGTTTCTCATCTTTTTAATCAGTGTGTAATAATAAATAGTTTTTTTGTTATATCCCAATGAGTGAAAAATTGTATTTCCGATGTCTCATGACTGTATGTAAGCCACTTCCTTGGAGTAAATAAATAATCGAAGAAGTGGCTCATATTAAGTCACGAAACATTAGAAATGCAATTCTCCACTTGCTGGGATGTAACAATAAAATGTATTTATTATTAACTTACTACCTAATGCTCGGTGTATTTGAAACTACAAAGTCCAACCTTGGGATTAATACTTACAGTATGTAAGTCCTTCAACTACTTTTTTTCCTCAAAATATCCTCAAAGTCAATACCGCTGACAGTACATGTATTAATCTTGAAATGTAAAGACGAAATCCATACATTTCTCTTTCGTCTTATCATAAACACACTTTGTGGATAAAATGGTCAAATGTTCTTCAAACTTTTGTTCATCAAAATATGTAAATAGTTTTCCTTTTCTTCTTATTCCTTAAACAGTATTTCTTTTTTCCTTCCCTACTTTATATTATTCACTAGAAATGGAAATTGCGGTCAACAGAAGATTCTGTTGGAATTCGATTAGTTTCTTCACTTGATTTCGATAGAGATCCAGAAGCGAAACTATCACAGACTCCACATTGGGTTTATACTTATGCATCGAGATATGAAAAGTGAGCTTTCCCTACTCATTCTTCTTTTCTAGTTTATGATAATTCACAGGAATTTCTTTGTCCGTTTGTTTTTCGTGATCTATCACATTTGTTATTATTTAAAATGAAAATCTCACTTCATATAATAATTACATTACTGTGTCATATATTGGTGATAGTCGTTTAGATAAATATGTCAGCATTTTATGCTGTTATTTAAACAGTGCTGCTGTAGTGAACAAGAACACCAGTGGGGACAATCAAATGTATTTGACTCAAAATTACAGGACTTGTTAATAAAATCTAACGATCAAATAGTAAATACGTAATTTGAAGATGTCCATCAGTTCTCCCATAATGACTCAGACTTCATTGTTCTTGCATTTTCATGCAAGTCGCATTCTGTTTCCATTCTTTACTGTTCGATCCCTTTGTCTTTCTGCTGCCAGACCCTCTGTTCACGAGTAACGTCATATACTACTTATGTCAGTATAAGTAGCACACACCACACTGCCACCAATCTTAATTTCATCAGTTATATATTTTGTCATGTATATTTATCATTGTTTGGGAAGAAGGTCCTGTTTACTCAGATGCTAACCATTAATTAATGTAATAACTGTCAGATGACAACATGGAAAAAGTTACTTCAATACTAAATCTCACTTGTAGTACTGTATCAGTAGCTGTGTAAACAGAAATATCGTACCAGGTACTATCTAGCGTCTAGCTATGTATCACAATATTGCAAGAGTTCAGCAATTACTTGAATAAGTTGGTGGTTGTATTTGGGATATAAAATTATCCTAAGTGCTATGCTAGTAATTTGCATTTCCTTGTTAGTCACACCACTTGAAAGTCCCCCCAAAGGGCAATTACTTGCAACCAGTTATACATAACCTTCTTGTGAATAATATCGGTTTCGTTTGCTGCGTGCTTTCCAAATTTTTCTACCGTTGTTTAAAATCCATAGTCGACATTTTCGCATGTTCATATCTAGTTAACATTAATAAAATGACTTCAATCAAATAGATTTTATTGGTCAAGGAAAATGAATCAAAAATCTAGTTTTTATAAACCATTTAAAATTGAAGTTGCTAACACCGAACCCTCTTGCTTTAAGTGAGCAGCGAACATTTTCATACAACATGCGTTTTTTTTAATAAGTTTTATGGAAACTAATCTGAAAGCCTCCTTTATCTAAAAGTAGATATTTCGATAATTTCTAATAGTAACTTTTTACTTTTAAATTTTCTATTTTAGAAGTGAAATGAAATCTCATTTGTTACTTGGAGATGTCTTACGAATTTTATATTTATTACTAGTAAATCGTAGAAATCAATTAGTTTTAAGAAATGTTTTAAAACACTGTCGACATTATTGTCGTAGAATACCTTCAGGTGATATTCATATTTATACATCAACTGGTTTATCACCGTTAAGATCGATTTCTTTACCACACTATTCATGCACCATTTCAAAATCTACTCCACTATTTATTGTACACTGGTATTCTGATAATATTTTAAAAGAAATATTAACTGTTACGTATAGTTGTTTGCCATTACATGAAACTTGGTACGATTGTTGTCCAAAAATGTTACTGCATACATTATCATATTTAATTTTTAAACCAGATGCAAAAAAGCGTATTTTAAGCTTTGCAAAAACCTTCTCTATTAAACCTGGACAAATGCCAAGTGCGTTTTCATTGTTACCAATAATGCGAACAAACGAGAACGATTCTAGGAAATGTTCATCACTTGATAACCTACATGGTGGCCATCATGATTTGGAATTGTATACAAAGTTATCTGATTGTCTTCCAAAATCACTTACAACTATATTGAAAACGAATTTCGGTTTGCCCGTTTATCATATTGCAGGATTTGGACTGCTTATTAATTCTTTTCATAACACTTGCATTCATGTTTTCACTGATACCAAGCCAAGTGTGCATTATAATTTGAATGTCCCGTTGAATGAACAGTTATCCGTTAATTTGTTCATTATCATGCAACATTTACATCAAGCTGTATCTGTTTGTTTGTGCAGACTACGTGATTCTTATGCATCGCTTATGTCAGCTGGTGCATGTCTAAGAGCAAGATATGAACTTTCAAAAACCCACTGTAACGATACTCAGCAACTATCTTATTTACGTATTGCTCGAGGTCGCGCACGTCTTTTCGAATCAGAAGCCGTTGCTCGAGATAATATTGGTCGCATATTTAATGAAGAGGTTAACCCTCATATTCTTAATCTAATAAACCTATTGGAACGTATATACCATAGTTTACGTCACTTAACTGGAAATACTTTCTTATTTGGTCCATTTTACAATCAGAATATTATGTCTTGCAATGACGGAAACTTGACTTTACTAAACTCCAAACAATGGGTTGTCGAGTCGCTCAAATATGTGAAAAAATTAGTTCATTTGTCAAATGTAATACCAAAGTTTAACTTTTCTCTCTTTATTGAAACATCTTTTCATCTATTAGAATATCTAACTATTGATGTTACTAGACATCTTCATTTAGTTATGGAAAAAGTGTTATCTTTCAAGAATCAACTATCGCAGACCTATACATCCATCACTAATTCTTGGATTCCAGCTTACAAAGGTTTATCCACTGAAGTTAATTCACGTGCTGATATTGACTTGAAGTATTTCTTTTCGTCACTGCAAAGCCAGTATGATGTAATTGAGGTTTGGGCTCGACGCCAGCATGAAACAGAATTAAGATCTATTGGTAACGAAATGATAAACCTTCTCAAGATACTTGCTAAATGCTGGAATTGTCAGTGGCTATATAGAAATTTGAAGTTACCATGTCCTGTTTTAAGTATTCCATATGGTTCCAAAAATAATTCATCTCATTTATTTCTGAAAGAACCTGGCATAATTTCGTTATCGTCTTGGCCACCAGTTCATTCCAGTTTTATTCTTACTCAACATATAGTCCAAACAAACTCACAGGAACACACCAATCAGAACGTTAGTTCTCTCAGCAATGATACACAGGAGTTCGTCTACTCAAAACTGACATTTTCGCAAGATACTTCGACTAGAATATGCAGTTCTAACCTAAAAACAGAATTACCTTCCATCGTTAATAATAAAAGCCATAAGGCTGGTGCATGTCATTTTTCACCGAGCAATAATTTTGTTTGTGAAACGCTGTCTAGTGAGCAGGTTAGTGTTACTTCAGATTTAAGTGTTAAATCTCCTGTACCGCAAACTGTCAGTTATCATTTTCCTAGCTGTCCACCTGATATAAATATTTTCACCCCTTCTGACCAATTCCTTCCAGTTGATAGCACGACAAATACATCCACGTTTGCATCATCAGATCTTCGCAGTCATCGAACTACTGGAAAATTATCAACTACTAAAAATTTACTTACTCAGCCGACTTTAAAAAACAACTCGAATTTGCTGAACTCAGATATTAGAGAAACTAACTACCATGATTCATCTTTTGTTAGTGTAAATAATCCTTTAGTTACTGACGTCAGTAACAGTAGGCTGGAGTTTGATTTAACAGTCACCAATAAAAAATCGTCTAAAGAAGCAACACTGGTGGAATCATGTGTTCAAAATTTGTGTGAACCTTGCCAGAATCACCCTACATCCATTTTGAGTGACAATGAATCAAAAAAAGATGCTTATTCAGTTGATACACAATATTGTAATGCTCATAGTGAGACTAATGTTAATCAAGATTATCAGATTACAGATGATATTTCACCACCTGTCGAGTGCTCACTCACAGTCTCTCAAGATAATGACCCATTATTTCAGAACAATGTACGAATATCATATACACCAACTTTCAAGAACTTGATAGCATGCGATACCAATCAAATCGAGAACGGTTATTCAGATCAGTCTTCAGTTGTAGTAAATCATCCGATCATATCTCCAAATGTTGCAAATACAGTCATTTCAAACTCATCAACCTTATCGAACTCACTACAAAAGACTTGTAATGGACATGCTAAAATACCCCCACATACATCTCCATCCATTTGTGATAAAGATATCATCACTGAAAATAGAGTTTTTCCTACTATTTCTCCCAAGAATGCTGATATTGAGAACTCAAAGTCCAAATTTTCTCAGCCCCCACGAGATGTTCACGATCGGAATGGTTCGCTAGATGAAAGTGTTCCCATCTCAGGTTCAAAGTCTGATCTACCCATTTCCTCAAGCTCATACGACCCAGTCTCCACAAATTCCAAAACTTGTGATCATCACGCAATCGATCCCTTTTCCGGAGATGCTTTTGCTAAATCACAAAGATGTTCATGTCCTCCTCTAGAAGAAAATAAGGCTAGTAATAATTTCAGTTTCGTTAATAATAAAACGAGTGAACTAGTAGGATCTACTGACATGTGTAAAAAGCAGTCGAAAAAAAAATCTGTTAAAAAAGTGTGTATTTACCTACCGGATAATGCTATTACTAATTCTCCTACTAAAGATATTGTGTCTCATTGTAATAGTGAAGAAAATCATGAAGTATCCGACGAACCAGATAATTGTATAATATCCCTTGACAGACGACGAGCTGGGAAGCTTAAACGAAGGTTAAAAAAAATTAACCACTCGACATTCGAAATACAAACATCCACTACTTCCTCCGATACCTCAGACACTTCTCAAATCATTCTTGTAAATAACAGCGAAAGAGCTTCCAAAGATATACAAGCAATGAATAATATATGTTACAAGCCGATCACTAACAGTATTTCGTTTGAGGGAACTCTGCTCAATTCATATAATTTAACTAACATCGATGAAACCCACTCAGTAAATAACATTAAACCTGTTACTCCTTGGCCAAAAGAGAAATCTTTGCATCCGCAAGCTCCTGGTCCAGTCACAGCCGCTATATTAGGCCAGTCTGTTCCCGTATTATCTTCTGATATTTCAATTGATCTAACTGTTGATGATTAAAATAGGCTTAGTTTTAACATTAAATAGCATCTAAACTAAGTTCCGATCAGAACATCCACTACTTACAAAAATTTGTGTATAATCTTGTACATATTTATTGCTCTCCAATTCTATATCAAGATTCATTTTGTGCATTTCACTGAATTTTACTCTGCGTCAACTATTTTTATAGCTTCATTTTATGATACATTTATTTAATTTTACAGGGTTTTAATTATGTAACGAATTCCTTGTGGCATAATTTTTTGTCAATTTTACCAATAAAATAGTTCGTTTTCTTGAGTGTATTGCCTCATCCCTGGGTTTTCATGCTCTGAAACCGACCGCAAATAACTTAAGATATGGATATGTACCGGCTCGTTACCACATCGGATTATCTGAGAAATTCAACAAAGAGGAGTCAGAGTGAAAATAGCAGTGGACAAACTAAACTGGATGAGTATTTGAAATATATGAATTAATTCATTAATATAAACTACGTAATAATGCTAAACTCAAGAGTAAGAAGAATGAGAACTGCAACTAATTTATTGCTTTATCATCCAGACTTTGAACAGTTATCTGTTAAGCCTGAATGAGGAGGTGTAGACCTCCCCACACATATCCTAGTTCAAAAGTTAGTGACTCTGTGGACTGATACCATATCTGGCCGCCGCGAATCTCTTCGTTCCTTCTGTACTGACAACCATTACATGTTGCGTAAGGCACACTTACCGTGGCTTTTCGTCGCACTTACTGTTATTGCTTCTGTGCTCCTTTTGTTGATTTTTTATCCAGCTTTCCTAGTGCTATGGCAACTTGGGTCCTAACAGTAATTAACCACCAGAAAACATTAGTAAAGATGGAACCAAAAATACAGATATCCATTTTACTGACCTTGTACTCTAATATATACGTGGCAAGATTTCAGTCCCTGAGTATTGTTCCCTAGTGTCTTTAACATACGTCCTAAAGAAGGAAGCGAACAAATATTCACTATTATAAACAGATTATACGGTTTCGCAAAACTCCTGAGTTAGATAACAAACATAGCCGATCCTCGGTGTCAATACTCCAGTTATTGATGATACTTTATGGAATTGGAGTTAAATGACTTGCGAGTTTTGAACATATTTCCAAATTTATTTTGGTTGCAAATTTTTCCGTGGTACCGTATTATTCTTATTGATTTGCGAAATCTTGCCCTCTAAGAATTCTGGCTGAGATTGAGACGATTGCGGCTTTTTTCCTTCCAACTGGATTTTGAAGATGTAACCATAGATACAAAAAAAGATAGTAATTGTTTTAAGTACTATCGAAATATGTCCTCAGTATATTGATTTGTATATTTTTTCTAATATATAGAGACAAAGTATGCTGAGAAACAAACTATCTATTATTGTAATCAAGTTTGGAATTCGATGTAGACTAGTGATAGGATAATTATTAGAGTTTATTGTCATTACACGGGTGTAATCACCGCACAAATTATCATCTCATATCCATTTCAAAATAGTCCTAACCGGCTATGCCACTTTTAAAATTAACATTATGGGACGACAGGTTTAAGGTGTGGAGGGATCTCCATTGTGTGGTTTAGTGCGAATTATAAATTTGAACGTTGTTTCTATGTTGTTCTAAGATTCTTGATACCGCACCCTAAACGAATGCTATTAGTCCAGTCCAGTTCATATTCATCCCCAAAACCTCCTATAATTGCTAGACTTTCAGAATCGATATCGTCTGCAACTAACAATCTGCGGAGATGTTTGTGCCGTATAACACCATGATTGCTTGCTTGTGAGATATATAGCAAAGTGATATGAAATTGTTTGATAAGTATTTCACACACATCTTGTTTAAAATTATATCCCAGTTACTGGGCAAATCCTCTTACTATTCTGACGGACGACATTCCGCAGTTTGACGGTGGTATAGTTTTAGAAATATTTACTGCATGCGTTGGGTATTGACTTGATGGACAGAGGTTCAATAAATCATCTTTCAGCTATTGGTTTATCGCAACAGAATTTTCCTCAAAACCATAATATTAGTTTTTCACAAAACCACTCATCTCAATAAGATTGAATGTCGTGAAATTGGTTAAATCTGACACGATATGGTAGTTATCATGCTAAAGCTTTCAGTCAGATCAAACACTTGACTGGTATAAATACGGAATAAGCCACTACTTGTTAATTGGGAGCTAAGTTCACACTCACCGAAAGCATTTTATTTTTTCCATTGAAGACTCCATGAGAGCTTTCTACTTATTATCTTATAGTGAGCTTCCAGATTTCTGTAGTACAAATTGTGTTAAACAAACAGTGACATCGATATGTAAGTGTGCATCGGAAGCATAACGAACAGAATTAACCAGAGCTTTGGAAGAAATCGGTAGTTGATAATCAACAATGTTCTAATGTAAAATATCGTTTAGTAGTCTCCGATATCAGGAAAACCTCATAATTACCAGACAGCGCCTGATTTTTCTTTAATTAAACGTTAGTTGTTGTTACTACTTTTATCTTGTATTTAGGTTAAAAACAGGACAAACAGTAGATAGCTTTGGAATTTGCATTATACGACTATACGTTACCTGGAATTTCGTTTTGTAAAATCACTCCCCATTTTAGGCTCACTAGTTTTTGAGGGTAATAAAAAAAAGAAGCATTAAAAAGTCTTTCGTCTCAATGATAAAACAAACTTAAAAAGTAGGATAATTAAGGAGAACACCGTCTAGAAACTGTACACCAGTTAAATATTTTTAAACATGAGGCCTAGTGAGAGGTCCTGAGTCTGTTTCGTGCTAGACAACAATCATCACTGAGGCACATTTGCAACTTTGATGTATCTGATTATCCTCAGGGTATTGAAATCTATCACAGTAATTTACACTGCTGCTGAGTTACTCGGGTCACAATTGGAATCCCGTATGTTTGTTGGGAGCAAACTCAGTGTAGACTCGCCTATCTATTTAGCAAATAACATCTAATTCTTCAACTTGTATGCACTGAATCGAATTTGCGTTAAAGTAGTGTATTTAAAAGTCACGTAAAAAATGTAGGTCAAAGTGCAATGTATTGACTGGTGAGTAGCTAATATAACACTTGCCTAACAGACTATCAACCGATTCAGGTTTTGCAAATAATCACTCTCTCTACCTTAAATGATAGAGGAAATTCTTACCAATTCATGAATGATAAAAGTTTTCTTGCTAGACTATTTAGCTGTTCTGATGTTACTGCTAATAATACAATTATATACCTATCTCAGTGAGATTGATCTAATTAATTAACTCCATATAACTCACTAGCCAAGGAAGAGTTTATGTACTCGGTTTCTAAAAATACTGTCAAAGGCTTAGTTTTGTTATCGAGATGTCTAAACTAGAGGTGTGGTGGGGTCGGACTTGTTGCCTATTGGTTAAAAGCCAAGCCACCACTTAACTTACTAACTAGTATACACCTTGTAACACTAAGTTAATCAAGATAAATACTATGTTATACAGATGCGTTTACAGTCAACCTGTTAACCTGTGCAAATCATGATCCGCAACTACCTATCAAAGATATGTGAGCGACTGAATTGATAGCTGAATAATATCGAACTCAGCCGAAGTCCGAGGTATTGATTTCGATCCCATAACTTAAGACTTTCCATTTCCACTAGATATAATGTATATATGATACAATAATACCGTAGCATGAAGACAGGCTTTGCAGTATTACTTTGAAGGATTAAAATCTACACTGAACGCCACTAGGTCAAATTTAGCAATACTTATACAAACTTAAACACATGTGAAAATACAAAACACTAGCAGGAAGTGTTAGTGACCATGATAATCTAAAATAGAATATCATAGGCATTTTTAAGTTCATAAAATTAGAGCACAGACATGTTAGGATATAGTTGTCCTACAAAGTAATACATGTATACAAGGAGAAAGACTTGTTATACTACATGTGCTTACCATATTAAGGAGTTTTCACATGAAAACTATTGATGACAGTTCGGTCCGATTATCTGACAGGGAAATAAGTAAACTAGTACACATTTTTGTACCGCCAGGTATTACACCATGTAAAACGTTGTGACATCATTGAACTGCCTAACGGAAAGTGAGTTGAGGATATCCCGAACTAATGACCCAATAGTTACACAACTGAACTGAAGACTCCAATAGCTAGTGTCTGTTTATTTCTGGAAACTTAACATATAGGTTGAATTAAACTTCTTGGATTAAGACTTTACGGTTAGTTTCTGGCTCGTTTCAAATTGCACTGAGAAATTCCGTGGATGCATGTTGATATTGAAGGCTAGTCAATCAAGGTGCATATCTAACCTAGTTTCATGTCCAGGTACTTCATCGTGAACATATCTAATGAACACCTATCAATTTATTGGTAATTGTTCCAACAATTTTTCCTAATGAATAACACGTTGCATATTAAAACAACCAAATGTTTGCAAAATGATATTATGAAAAAAAACCAGAAGAATTTAAACAAAGTTTTTACGTCTTACTATACAGTCAAGTAGGAAAAATATACTCCTACACTATAATTCCAAGCTTATTGATGTACTAAGTGAAAAAAATCAATATGTTTAGTATATGTTTTGGGTCCTGCTGGTGGAAAATGTTGTCAGAACGTAAGTTTGAAACTCTACATAACCTAATCATTGGTGGTTGGTAGAAGAATTGGTTTACATGTTGAGATTTTCGGCTCATTTACTTCTATATATGCATGCCAACTTTCGATGAAATCTCGAGGTGAATATGACGATTAGATAGATATTTATTAATTTACACAACGTTTAACTTCATGATATTCACAATTCCACCAAAAATCAATATAAAACAAACATGTGCACTTTTTTCGTAGGTCTTCTATTTCTAGCTACATAAACATGTCCGAGCAGCTGGCATGAAGCTTCTCATTACGGTAAACGCGATCGCTTCTCACCAAACCTCGGGACTGGTACGTAATGGCAATAAAACGGTATTTTATATGGTTACAAGCCAGGATTTTGTTTTCTGATATTTAAAAGTAACGGCAGTACAATATGAGTGGTTATAAAAGCTCAAAATCAGTGATTTCATCAGTCAACATGACAACATACTGAAAAAAAAATATTTAGAAGAACGTAAAAGTGATGAGTACCGAAACGTTAAACTAAAGTATTTGCGAAAATTGTGATATTCTATACAAACAGTTACTATTCATATTTTGTTGGAGGAGCTAATTAAGTACAAATTTAATTGGACCATCTCCGGGTAGTCCAGGAGCAAACCCACCCCAATATCCAGTCGGGCAACTGCGAAAAATGACTCGGTAAAATAGGAACCAACAAGCGACACCGAGTGCGGTACCCAAAAGCTTTGATGGCATAGTATGAAAATAGATTACTGTTGAAAGAAACATAATATCCCAAAGCATAGACAAACAGGCTGTAAACGAAAATATTAGACGAATCACAGATGTTAATCTTCGATAAGCTGAGCGCATTATGTTCAGTTCTTGTTCAGAAACATGACGAATTCCACTTGTATTAGTAGACTGGTTCGGTTCGTTGCTCTTATGTAGCTGTAGAATTTCAGAGAGTTTGTTCCAATGTTGCATACAGCCGAGTTCTTCTATGATCCATAAGTTGGACATGATTAACAGGAAGCAGTGACCCGATATATCAAATCCTAGCCAAACACCTCCAGCTCGATGACATGAAATTCGTTGATTAGGACGGAGTCCATTAGGCAAGGTAACCGATGCTGGATGACAGTGACCAGACCAATCATGAATTAAATTGATAAGTCCAGTAACAGTATACCAACAGCCAGAGCCAACGACCAAGCGTAAAATATGCCCACGCATGAGCTTAATATTACCAGCCGTATATACAAAGGAAGAAACGATTATAAAGGCTGCAAGGCAACCACATGTCCAAGCCCACCCTACTTTCACGAAATACCTGTTGAACGGATTTTGCTTATTAGAAAAGTAAGTTGGAGGAGCTCTCACAAAGTCAAAGACAAGAGATACGCCGGCAGCTAGGCAAAGATATACTCCAGCTTTAACGGCCGGATTAATAAACATCGGTCGTCGAAGAGTCGAAAACAACAAGAGATCTAAAAAATGCCACGGAGAAGTTGGTCCAGGCACTGACCTTTTAGGAGCTCCTGGCTCACTGGGTGGTAGTGGAGAAGAATGACTGGTGCTGAACTTTTTCATTGCTGCTGGCTTCATTCTAGAAAAGAAACATAAAACTGAAATCCTGCACTTCGAAATTAATTTACAGATCAATCACAATATGAATTTCATTGTAACTACAACTAAGATTTAAGACGCCTTACTAAATGATGATCAGAGACAACCAATCCGGAATATAAACATCTTCATGAGTTTATATGTAACAGTAACCCAACGACATGATAGTATGAGCATCATATACCACATAATATCTTCAGAAGTCTGGTTTGAGGAAGTGAAAAACGAATATGGATAAGGTTGAGCAAAGAGATCTTTCGATGGTTTCATTTTCAAAGCTATATATATATATATATATATATATATATATATATATATATATATATATATATATATATATATATATATATATATATATATATATATATACAAAAACGACAAGTCGAATACAGCAATACAGATAAATGCGCAAAAATGTCACTCGTATTTGGGGATTTGATCAAAACATGAATCGAGAATGGTATAAAAGGAAGACAAGGGATATTACTTATGTGGCTGAATTGTGCAATATCGCGTGATAAGTTTTGGAAACAATTAAGAACAGCAATAAAAGGGTAAATCTGTATCGTTTAGGAGTTTAACAGTATGGTAGAGAGACAGTAGTTTGTAAAGATTTTAAAATCAAGTTTAAAGACAAAATAAGAACCCACGATCCCACACGCGGGAAGCGAACCCGGGACCTAAGGTCCCGCGTGGATGCTCAACCTCCAGATCACTGAGCCAGCATCTAACAGTATTAATGCCTAGCTTCAGCTAATCCATGATACTGCGTGACCATCTTCCATTGTATTTGGTGGGTAACCGCCTCACATTCGACACGGTCCAACTCCACTGGTCAAGGCTTCTTACTACAACTCCAAAATTTACCTCTTGAGCGCGAATGCCCTGTTACGGCCGAGGGTGGGGAGAGTCCACTCTCCTTTATATGGCCACTGTCAGAGAAGTCCTATTCATTCCCTTCTCGAGGAGGGGGTGCCATTTAAGAAATAGAGAGGACGGAAAGCGAATGCCTGGAGCTTTAACCGGGTTGATGTACATGGAGTGTTGGAAAACCCTGATTCCAAACCAATGGTGAACATGGACTCCAGGGTCCTGAGGTAAAAATGGCGTACGAACCTATTGTTGGTCACCGGCTACCATGGGACTGCATCTCCTAAAGTTGTTCCACTGCCTTGTGAATTAGACTTCTACGTCAAAGGCTCAAGGAGTGGTCCCAGAAGGCCCTGAGTTCGATCCCTGCGTGCTGGATAATGGGTGCGCATTGCTGAGGACTTCCGTACTAGAACGAAATGGCTGTCTAGTGCTTCCAGGTTTTTAACCATGGTCTAACAGAGATCTGTTCATGATTTCAACGGAACTCAACAATTTCCACGATCACATACTGAAAAGTCAGAATCAACGAAAGTAACTGAAATCAACGAAGGTTAATTCTATAGTAAGATAAAAATCGAATAAAATAACTATTCTTCACTGGAACTGATAGAAAAAGAAACTAAAATTTTCCAAAACTGAACGAGCGTTTTGACAGCTTGCTTGCCCTTTCGACCTATGTACATCCCATGGACAAAAGATAGTTGCCAATTATGAAATCGGCTGTTCGTTTGGACCTTTTACAGATATAAGCTTACCTAGAACAACTGTTCTCCATGGTTGGAGACCCCAAACCAAATTAATGCGGACCAATTGGTTTTTTATTTCACTATGAATGATGGGGTATTCTTGTCTTAAATTAGACTTTCACTATTTTCAATGACTATGTGTTTTCGAATTTTTGAACTAAATGAAAATTATTTGGGCCAACATATTTATTTATTTGAACACATAAATATTGGTACGAGAGCGCAACAAATATATATGCGCCACACAAAGATAGGGAATTCGAAGAAAAAAAGAACAATAACAAACAGATTAGTGTAAGGTAGCGTAATAATAATAATAATAATAATAATAATAATAATAATAATAAAGGGGAAACGGAAAGGTACAATCAGAAGAAATATTTCAGTTGAGGAGAACACAACCATTTTTTACGAAAAAGTTAAAAGAAGGTTAGAGCAGGATCGCTACTGGCTTCTATTTTAAGCCATATCTGATAACGTCTCTAGTCACTGTGTCGCACCATCTCTAGGACCCCAACCAGAGAGTCGTGAAGGACCAACAGAAGTCAGCCCTTTGCAGCTTTCTTTCATGCCACGACACCATGTCATACACTGACCACCTCTCCACCTTCTCCAGCCAGTACCAGAGTCGGCATATAATGCACGACGTGGAATGCTATGGGACGACATTCGTAGAACATGTCCAAGCCACCGAAGTCGGTGTTTCAAGATGGTGACACCGATTGCCTTATCATCTCTGTGCCCGAACACACGGCGCCGAACCTCTGCATTACTAACATGGTGTCGCCACTGGATGTCAGCAATCCTCCGGAGACAGCGATGATCGAACACAGAGAGTCGTCTAACGTCCTCAACTCGGAGAGGCCAGGTTTCACAAGCATAGAGCAAAACTGCTCTCACCGACGCGTTGTAGATCCGACCTTTTACAGCCAGATTAACATCACGAAGGCGCCAAAGGTGGCCCAGATTGGTATAAGCCGCTCTGGCTTTCACTATACGTGCATTGATCTCATCACTCACACCCCACCAGCACTTATGCAGCTACCTAGATACACGAACTTCTCGAATACTTTTAACTGCTCACCATCCAGAGTGAGTACAGGATTGGAACCCTGCCAGTCCTGTAGAAGTACTTTGCACTTCGAAGGTGCAAAGCACATACCGTACCTACGGACACTGATTGCCAACTGATTAAGTGTGGATTGCATGCCTTGGGCATTATCGCACAGTAAGACAATATCATCCACATACTCAAGGTCGAGAAGTCTTTCTCCAGGCAACAGATCCACACCACCATTACTTACATCCATCAGACCTGTTTCCAGAATGTCATCGATGGCAAAGTTGAAGAGGAATGGTGAGATTGGGCAACCCTATCTAATCACACTGCTTGAGTGGAACAATGAAGAGAAGTGGTTGTATGTCCTCACTCTGCCTGAGGTGTTTGTATATAGGGCCTTTAGGATGTTAATAAACTTCTCAGGCACACCCTTCTTCAATAGTTACCAGATGCAGCTGCTGCTTCCAGCTCATTAGCACGCTCCGACCACCAGGATTCTCGGTCCTTACGCAAGCTTTGCCTGGTTTCATTATGTAACAGCCTTCGTTTGTGGTTAAACTCACGGTCACCCGGAGTAGACCGACGGGCTTCGATGAGTTGTAAGGAACCAGAAGAAACCCAGTGCTTATAAGCGGGACGTTTCGCGAACCCACAACTGACTGCACCCGCCGTTTTCATGGCGTCATGCAATTGCAGCCAATGTTCATCTTTACTTTTTGGTGGAATGGCAGCCAGCCTAGAAGCTAGCTCGGTTCGATAGTTCATTGCAACAGAAGTTGCAACCAACTTGCTAAAATCAATCCTTTTCTTGGCGGTCATCTTGTTGGCCACTGAAAAGTAAGGTAAGATTGGCGTAGACCAAGGCGTGATCGGAGTCTAGATAGTTACTCCAAAAGTAGCGGCAGTCTTGTACACAACCACGCCTGCGGTAGCTGATCGCGATGTGATCAATCTGAGTTCAGGCTTGAGATGCAGAGGGAGGACGCCGGGTGGCACATCGGCGATGACTGTGCCGAAAGTTAGTGCTAGCCAGAAACAGGTTGTGGTCTGTGCATAGTTGCAGTAGACGGTCCCCGTTATCTGTCCTGCGACCAACAAGTCCCCATTGGCCACCCAAACGACTCTCTTCTGTGCCAAGACGCCCGACCTGAGCATTCAAGTCTCCGGCTAGGACTACAACATCTGTCGAACGCACTTTCTGGAGAAGAACAGTTGACTGGTGGTAAAATTCATCCTTGATTGCATCCGGGCTGTAATCTGTCGTTGCATACTCGGAGATGACGAAAAGACATCGTTTCTCAATCCGATTTCCTCTCACCTTGATGGAACTTTCTAATCTAACAGCCAACATATAACATTCCATGATACAATTGTGAATGAGCAATCAGGGTTCAAGACACTGGACCTCTGGATGGACTGAGATTAAAGACAATACAACAAACTAGCAAAACAAGGTCTTTCTACAGCAAAAGAACATGTTTATATACAAAAATAACTCCACAAAATAAATGGTCGGACGATTCAGATTTCGTAGGCCACTTGCATTCCAACGAATTCAGGATTTGACAAACAGGTTTAATTTTTACTTTGCTATGACAATTATATTTTCTTCATTGCTTCAGTTTATCAGTCCCTTTTGAGGAGAATTTTTAATTTACTCCCAACCTCATGTTTACTGTTTTCACTTTTGCACTGTTCATCGTTTTGATATTTTACTTCTACATAAGGATTGATTATGAGAGCTAAGACAGATATACATGTGCTCTACGTTACAATTGGTTCGTATCTCTCTCGGTCAGTCATCTACAACGTAGGACCAGACACATACATGCATCAGCCCAAGTTGCCACACCTCTTTAGCACAACAAAATAAGCATCAAATTCATAGAAGTAGTCACTTCAATTGTAGTAATATATGAAAGAAAGACTGTGTATAATAACATAGTACAGAAAGAAAGAAACAGTTCATAGAACGAAGGATATAAAGCGATTTTAATCTTATGGTTTAAAGAAAGACAAAGAGTGTATGCATCGACGCCATTGTGATAGATTCTGGACCATATCACCCAGAGTCTCCAACCATTGGTTACGACAGTCATGTGGACTCCAACCAAGCAGTATGCATCTACCAACATGGCTAAGACGAGAAGTTAGCGACTTCAATGACTGATGCCACTTTTTCGTTTGGCTCCCCATAACTTTCTCCAATCTTCCTTCAACACTAGTCAGCATTGCGCTTCGTGGTAATCGATGTTGAGCCATATATAACTCGCCTGGATTATTTTCGGGACTTAGATTATTCTAAAGATTTGACATATATAACGTCGTTTGGCCGCCACTAACTTTTTCCAATCTGCCTTCAACACTAGTCAGCTTTGCACGTCGTGGTAGTCGGTAGTTGGACATGTGCAATACGTCACCCAACCATCTCAGTCGATGTAAATTCACAACCTCACCAACTAAATTACCATCATTCCCTAGTATCTTCCGTCTAACATCACTATTATTTATCCAGTGATCCCAGCAGATGCTGGCAATATTTCTAGGACATCTGTGATCAAATACTAGTAACTTATGAGTATCTTCTACTCTTAATGGCCACGTTCTGCAGCCGTGAAGTTCAGGTGTTGACGCAAGTCAGTTCTAAAGCAACGATTTGCAACTAGAAAGGGGGGAAGGGCATCCCTAACATTCTGGCATTGTTGCTCAGTGCTATCAAAAGACTGCATTTTAGTCTTCACCAAACAGGATCATATCATCTGCATATTCTAAGTCGATAAGTGGACCTCCTGGTAGGAGATCAATGCCCGAGAATTCAGTCGACGAGAGCGTTATTTCCATCAGTAAGTTTATAATGAAGTTAAACAAAAGTGGAGAAAGTGGACAGCCTTGTCGGACACCACTTGAGGTTGCAAAATCAGATGACAGTTCGTCATAAGCTCTGACTCGACTAGTAGTGTTCGAGTAAAGAGCCTTCACAAGATTTACGTACTTCTGAGGTACGCCTTTCGATGACAGACACTGCCATAGAACCTCTCGGTCTACAGAGTCGAATTCTGCTTTTAGGTCAAGAAAGACCACCATTGCCGGACTCCGATAAGCATGCCTGTGTTCTAGAACCTGATGAATGGTGAATATGTGGTCGATGCAGCCAGCCTGATTCTCTCGTGTTTGCAGTTCACAAGTCTTTGTTAGGCACCCGATAAATATTGAAGCTAGTATTTTAGATGCTATGTTATCAAAATAGTGCCTCTATGGCTACCACAGGATGACAATCAGTGATTGCGACCAATCAGATGAGATCACGTCTAACTCAGATTTTATGAAATATTAGTTAACCTAATCGCCAAAACTAGACCAAAATCCTTAAAGACATCTGGAGCCAATCCATCTGGACCAGCTGCCCCTCCTCGTTTCAGATTAGCTATACCTTTTTGAACTTCAGTTATAGTCTGCGGACCTACTTCCATGTTCCATTCACGCTGTCTGGGAATGGTAGGTAGTTGTAGAGTAGCTGAAGGCCAGCTGAACTGCTCCTTAAAATGTTCGGCTCATCGTTCTAAACGTCTAGACTGAGAGAACATAAGAGTGCCCTTTTTTCTGTGATTGTCTCACTTACACTAAACCCCTTAATTCCGGTTTATTTTATTATTCTGATAAGCTGTCTGGTGTTACCTACAGCCGTTGTCTTTTCCATCTCTTTTGCTTTCGTTACCCACCACTGCTCACGACTGTTCCGTAGACTTTTGGTTAACCTAGATCTGATTTGCTTTCGCTCTTCATCGTGTTCAGAGCCTGATGGGATGAGTTTACGAGAATCCATCAGTGCAATAGCCTTAGAAGAAATCCAATGGTTTTTGGTACCCCTTTGGTTAAAATCACTAACAGATGTCACTGCCGTTTCCACAGCTGTTTGTATATCTTTCCAGGCAACATCTTGGTCAGCCTCGTTTTCAGAACTACCTAATTGTGACCTCAGTTGTTCCTGGAACCTACTTTTGGTTTTCTCGTTACTCAACTCAGTTCTAATTAGTCTTTTTAAAGTGGCTTTTTTGCATCCAGTTAGGCGCAAGCAGATGCGTGCCCGTATTAGGGCATGGTCGGAGTCCAAGCAGGTACTCCGTAATGAGCGACAATCTTGTACCGACCCTCTCCAACGATGACTGATGGCAATAGTCTATTTGAGTCCATCGTTGGTTTAGTGTAGGGGGTCGCCATGTTAGACGATGTCTTTCCTTATGCTTAAAATTTGTGCTTGCTAAAAATAAACGATTGGCTGAGCACAGTTGCAGCGGACGATCGCCATTATCTGTTTGCTGAGTTGATATACCAAAATACCCACCCAAATGTCTTTCTGTTTGGTTTAAGCTACCTATGATGACGATGAGAAAGATTACATATTAAGTGAAAAGTACAAACTAGTACACCTGTCATCACACTATTTAGAAGAGTACTAAAATTTAATGATATCCGTTCTAAAATATACATCTGAAGCATTTCAAGAATTTTCAATGATATAAATAACCGCACACCTATATTCTTGATCAGATAAACATGAATTAAATCGACAGTACTTACTAGGTAATATTGTGAGTACTTACGGAAAATTTATATGTAACGCAATACTTGAATGGTGTGCATATGTTCTACTGAAGTGGATGGTAGAAAAGCAGTTTGAATAAGTTTTCCCAACATTTTGTAGTAGGTATTTTATTCAGATTGTTGAAACTGGTTAATTAGTAAATGTTGAATGACATGTAATATTCAGCAGTAGTGTAGTATTGAATACAGCCACGTTTAATTCAGATTCAAATGGTTCAAATAGTTGTGGAAGGAATAGAAGAAGCTTTCGCATAACTAGCCTTTGTGTCTAGTAGTAGTGGATCGCCAATACCTCCAGGCAAGAACCTAGGTATATTAATGATAATAGAGTAAAAAGAAATTGGTAAATAATAGTAAGATATTATCCTTAGTCCTTAAGAATAGGTCAAGTTTCTCCTCAAAGAACTCCTGAGAAGTCGCTTGGACTAGCTCAGACGGCAACGAATTCCAGAATTTGACAACTCTTAGGGAGTAGAAATGGTGTCTACAGTCCGTTTTGCTGTGTTGTGTCTCCAGTTTCTGGGTATTACCCTTATGTTTGCGTTGGAGCTGAGCTTAAGTCGGTGTCTATGGGGGTGTTTATGAGTGTTAAGAATACTGTGAGCCATTAGAAGGTCACCTCTAAAGCTCCTACAATCTAATGGGTAAATTTTTAGTGATTGGAGGCGCTCTTCATAAGGCTTGAATTTGAGCCCATGAACTGATTTCGTGGCTCGCCGTTAGATACGCTCCAGGGTGTCCTTATCCTTTCGGATTGGGTCGAAGGAAATGATATGTTTGCGTATTTTAAATGGGGACGGACAAAACTATTGAAGATTATGTGGAAAGTTCTACCGTCAAGCTGACCAAAAATACGCTTCAATGTTACCGTGCATGGTTTGTTCGAAATGCATTTTTGCCACAGTTAGCATGAGACTTCAAGTCGTAGGTTACCAGCACACCCAAATCTTTATCAACTTGGGATACTTCTAGAGGGGGTTGCCTAAGTCGTAACTGTAGTCTGCAACATGTCTCAGATTGTTTACTTTACATTTTGATGTGTTAAATGCGAGTCCGTTGTTATCTGCACAACTTTGAAGTCGAATCAGACCCTCCTTAAGTGCTAGTACACCCGTTTGTTTGCACATCTCTCTCTCTCTTCGCATCATCAGCGAAAAGAAATAAGTCAAAAGATACCTGTTGTGAAGATCGTTTATATAAACCCAGAAACGAACAGGTCCTAGTACTGAACCCTATAGGACCCCACTAGGACATTCCGTAGCCTGAAAAAAAGTGGGGTTAACCACGACCTTAAAATGTCAATTTTTAAGATATGAAGTGAGCCAGTCGATTGGAGCTGGTTTGATACCCAATCGTTTGAGCTTATTGATAAGATATATATGGTTTACCCTATCATAAGCTTATGAAAAGTCAAGATAGTAAGGAGAGAAGGACAACAGCTTATGTTATTCCTTTTCTAGAATGCATCTGTGAGTGTCCAGTCTTCTCTTGACAGAGTCGTTTGAACATGTGGAGGCACACTGTGTGTTAGTTTACGGGTTTTCGCGCACATGTAACATATTGTCGTGGATTTTATGTGTCGTTATTTATCAGCTATTAACAGCCTTTTTTCCATCATACGTGACTTCTCGTAATCTTTGTGATTGGAAGATAGTATTTATTTCAATTTATAAGCAGTTTGACGTATTTCGTGCTCACCTCCTAAGTAAATATGTAGTTGGCGTAATATGGTTATTTTTTAACAATACAAAGTCAAACAAGTCAAATCACCATTTTTCTAGTCAAAAATAGATTACAGATTGACTTTTCATGAAAATAAGCCGTGAAATGCATTATATATGGTTCACCTCCTTGATTATGGTGACGGCAAACAGAGATGTTCGTAGTCATTTATAAAATGTAATCAGAAAGAAGTAAGCATTAAACTAACTATGAATATTATATAAATTGTTTGTATTTAGCCATAAAAGGTTATTTTCACTAAAGGTAGCATTGTTTTGTATTGAAGTGACATATTATTGTGTAACGTATCAGAGAAAAATTATGTGAGTAAGAATTGATGTTGATAGTCTTTTTTACCGGCTTTCTGAAAGTATACAGGAACAGCGTATAACACCACGTTAAATAGGCACAAAATCTTCATAAGTAAAACAATGGGTGTCTCTTCTGAGCATGGTGACAAAACCATGTCGTACTTAATATTGATTTATGATGTGTCTGTTATAGGGTTGACGAATAATTTTCTGTAAACGAAATGCACAGTCGCAGACAAAAATGTGAACAAAGTTATGATGCATATTGTTGAGTAATATCTAGATGGTACTTACCAATTTCTCTTGCTAATACCAGATGTATATACGAAATACTACAAGGGTTAGACATTGAATAAATTCCTAGTGCTTGTTACGACACAGACTTGAATAAAAAAACAACTATTCATGAGTTAATTCATGAATTCCTACTGCATTACAGACTGACTCGTCCGAAGTAATTCATGCAGACAACGTGACGAATAGTGAATGAGCAATGGAAGCAGAATCACAAGTTTCTTGTATTCATATCTCCTTTATGCCACATTAATGAATTACATTTTCTTCATAATTCAGACCACGCTTCTATGTTGTGACGAAACTGCTTTCAGCAATTTTTAAATAACATTGATTTGTGTGTTGTAAAGATTACCTATTAATTTTTATTAAAGGAAATAGAAATCGCTGTCTGCAAATAAGAGACTTATAGGTACATTCTGTAACCTGCTATTTGATGTACTTATTGAATGTGATACTGATAACTAGGTCTAATTCTTTATTTCACGACTGATTTGTTTGTTTTTCAGAATTGTATGAATCCAATAAAGTCGTCAAAGGTTTGTGATGTTTACGCCGGTCTACAACTAATAGAATTTGTTATTATAAAAGACCATGTTAAAAAACGGTTCACATGTTCACGTTAACTGTGTTCCGTATTGCCTAGTAACATTTTTATTCAACTAATGAATTAGTGAAATATAAATATAGCAACTACACTCAGTGTCTTACTTTATAAACCGTATCCGTATTTATTAATAGTCGATATGACGCTAGAACAAATATAGATGGAGAACAATATGAACTCCTTATAATCCATGGAATGAACAAGTAATAAGATGGATTATGTAATAATTCATTTCACTTTTAAAATTTAGTTACCGATTTATTCCAGCACACTGTCACTTAATCCTCTGTAATTATGTGACCTCTGCAAATTGTAATCAATTATTACGTCACCCAAGTTTTCAGTTCCTAAATCCACGGATCATTTACAAGCTATAAGATTTTCACACCACTTATCTGTCTGTGAACTCCAGTCCACTATTACACCACCCATTCTTAATGTGTTATTGACTGTAAAAACAAATGACCTTTGACCTTAAACTGCACATATATATATATATATATCTAGTCATTATTGATAACCCACGTCATTTCAATTATTCATATTAAGGTATGTCAACTGTTTCCCACATCACTGTTAAATCCTAATGCATATTTAGTTATAACGAATGCATACCACTGTTAATCAACATTTCTCCTGGTTTCATTTTAATTCATAAGCGGAACTAATCACATGAAATTAAAATCTTAGCTACTGATACGATTTTAATTACAAACGTAATCCGACGAAGGTGAATATGATATGTGGGTGCCTAATCTGCAAGACTGTACGTGGATGTAGGGTTTCTTAATCATTCTTAATTATTACAAACAGTTACACATGAATGCCATTGCTATTCATTCTCATGAAAGTAGGAATAAGTTGAAATTTAAAATTATGAAAGTTTATTGAATAATCATTGCTGCTAAAGCAGAAAATCAAGTTTACAAGTTGGTATTAAGAATTCTTAAGTAATAATCGTCCACTTTCTTCTCAACTTCCGTTGCGAAACCTGAAATATATTTATATACACTTACCAATGGAGAGTGTAGCTTTCATACCTTTGACATCGGCAGAAGTTACTTGCTTACCAGTTCTCTCCTTAATGCTTTCGATAACTTCATCTGCTGACTCACAGTGAAGTATTACGGGCTTCAAGTTCTCTTTTTCTTCTGACGATAATCTCCTTGTCCGTGGATCACATACCATCCATGAACTACTACATGGATGATTGTGGAGCATGTTGTAGGATTTGATGACATATCCTTGCTCCTCTAGTCTTACACGAAATTTGGATTGACACTTACGGAATTTGGACCTTAAACATAAGATATTAGTTAAAGATCTTACGATTTTTGCCTCACATTCAAACCTCCCGATTTCCTCTTATGACCAAACGTACAATTAAACGATACAAACAGGTATTTGAACCTGACATCCTTTAGCAATCTGCTTTCTGTGTGGATGTAACGAGTATAAGTAGTCTGAGAAGCGATAAAATTATAATTCCATACTTTTTGGAACTCTTTTAAGGCGCTTTCAAAATCATCCCACAACACGAAACGCTTGTTCAGAATCATACTTCGAAAGGCATCGGTTAGGTCGACTGAAATGTCACTTGAGCATGAAGCACTAAAAACAGAAGTGACTAATTATTAAAAGGTTATTCCTTACAACAATAATAACCCAAGGAAATACTACAAATACTTAGGATTTACCTGTGACTTGACATTTCGTTGAGCTTAACTACAGTTGTTGGGATCAAAGATCAAATTACAAAGCAACAACAGAGCCAAAGGGTACACTACAAAACAGAGGACGCTAGATTAATGGTTTTGGTATTTATTTCGTGCTTTTTTATGTAGCATAAGATGACTTATATATGAAAAAACTTGATATTCACGGAATCCAACCAACCCACGGCAATTGAAATACGGAATGACCGCCTCTAGTCAAGCCTTTCAAGGTCGTTGAAACGAAAGGGCGGGCACATTTCAAAAGGACCTAACGTTTAAACCTTGCCCAAATGTGCAACTGGTGGTCAAGGATATCTTCATTGAAGGCTGCAATTAGACGCAACTCAATTTCGTAAATGTGCCCTTCAGCTTGACAACCAATCAGAAT